ACCAATATGACATCATGGGGTGTTGACTTCCTTGTGAATTGGATTTAAGTAAGGCAGAGATGCACAAAGTCATCAGCCTCACTCTGTCTTCCTGAGTCATTGAAGTCCAGTGGCAAGACAAAAATCAGAATGACTGACAATGGCCGGGGATGCAGTGGATATCCTTGGTGTCTTTAATGTCTGACTGAGCTCTAAGCCCTCCACAGTGCCTGCTTCAGCCGCCTTCATAGCCATTGGAACGAATTGTTTTCATCTGCCCATTCTGCCAGGGAAAAGTCTTCACATGCTTGGTATAGTCACCTCCCTAACTCATTGATGAGTTTGAGGCCTGTTGGTTACCCTCAACCTGGTTTAGTCCGTCTGCTGAGATGGTTTACTGGGATGTGGCCCCTGGGCATGCTACAGATTCTTGGAGCTACAGGTGAGAGTTGGGTGACCAGCTGGATACCAAAGGTAGATGAGCAGCCCTCACATCAGAGGTGCTAGTTATCCCTTAACACCCCTTACATACCATTCTAATTATTAATTTATTAATCAGATACTTAAATGAGTATACGATCTCATTGATGGTGGGTCTTTCTTCTAGTAATTCAGATCATGGCTCATCCACAGTTGGCCATCTCCCCTGGCTCTTATATGACTCCTCTCATAAGTTTACCATGAGGCTGCCACCTTCTGTTTTGGGAGTCTTTCTCGACCTATGTGGAGATCTCCAGGATAGTCACTGAGCACACCAGTTATTACATTATATTATATCATATCATATCATATCATATCATATCATATCATGTATCATATCATACATATTATATTATAACCAGCTGGTTAACCCTAGTGCAAGATGGCCAACCTCTCTTCTTGTTTTGATCATTATTTCTTTGCTGACATCCTTTACCCAGCTTTACTTTCATAAGTCCTTGTTTGTACTGGGATTCAGTAGGAGAAAGTAAAACGCCATCTCAGAGAAGCCTAGTCAAGGGGTGCTTGGGAACAACTATGCCTCTGTAAGGAAAAATAATATTCTCATTAATGAGTTGGATGGATACCTCTCAAATTTGCAGGTGACCCAAAATTGGGAGGGAATAGGATTATAAGATCATATATTTGGAAAAGGGACCTTGGAGATCATCCAGGCCAACTCCGCTATTCTAGAGATGAGGCCAGGAGAAATGAAGTGACTTGTTCAGGATCACACAACTAGTAAGCAACTGAGGCAGGATTTGAACTCAGGTCTTCTTCTTTCTTTTTTTTTTTTTTAAACACTTTTATTTAAAGTTTTGAGTTCCAAGTAATATCCCTCTCTCCCTCCCCTCCCTTCTCCCTGAGGCAGTAAACGATCAGATATAGGTTCTACATGTGCAATTATGTTTAACATTTCTCTATCAGTCATTTTGTACAAGAAGACTGGAATAAAAGAAAAAAATGAAAGAAAGTAAAAAAACAGCATGCTTCAGTCTGTATTCAAACAATATCACTTCTTTCTCTGGAGGCAGATAGCATGCTTCATCATTAGTCCTTTGGGATTGTCTTGGATCATTGCATTGCTAAGAATAGCTAAGTCATTCACAGTTCTTCAATATTGCTGTTATTGTGTACAACATTGTCCTGGTTCTGTTCACTATGTATCAGTTTATGTAAGTCTTCCCTGATTTTTCTGAAATCCTTCTGCTTGCCATTTCTTATAGCATAATAATATTCCATTATAATCATATGCCACAGCTTGTTTAGCCATTCCCTAGTTGATTGCCATACCTTTGATCAGGTTTTCTTAATTCCAAGTCCAGTGTACTATCCACTACTCCATACTGTCTTAGTATGCTAGTATACAGTCAGGGTGGTACCGTGAAAAGAGGGTTCCTTAGATAGATTTCAAGGAGTCTGTGAACTTGGATGAAGAAAAAAAAAAACAAAAACCACATTGCAACTTTCTTTTCTTTTTTTAAAATTAAATTGAGGCAGGTAGGTGGCGCAGTGGATAGAGCACCAACCCTGGAGTCAGGAGGACCTGAGTTCAAATCCAGCCTCAGACACGTGATACTTACTAGCTGTGTGACCCTGGGCAAGTCACTTAACCCCAATTGCCTCACCAAAAAAAAAAATTAATTAAATTTATTTATTTTATTAAATTTTTGAGTTGCAGGAGTTGTCTCCTTCCCTTCCAACCCTGCAATAGAGAAGGTCAATATTTGATATAAATATACGTGGTACCATACAATATCCAGTTCTTTCCCTGGAGGTAGATAGCACTTTCCTTCATAAGTCCTTCATAGTTGATTTGAATGTTTATACTACTCAGAATAGCTATGTTATTCACAGTTATTCTTCAAACAACATTGCTGTTACCGTATACAATGTTCTCTTGATTCTGCTTATTTAATTCTGCATTATTTCATGCTAGTCTATCCATGTTTTTTTGTTTTGCTTTGTTTTGGCTAGGCAGTGGGGTTAAGTGACTTGTCCAGGGTCACACAGCTAGTGTTATGTGTCTGAGGCCGAATTTGAACTCAGATCCTCCTGAACTCAGGGCCGGTGCTCTATCCACTGTACCACCTACCTGCCCCATCCATGTTTTTCTACAAGCAACCTGCTCATCATTTCTTACAGCACAGTAGTATTTCATCACAGAAATTTTGTTTTCAATAAACTCCAACTGAAATTAAGCATTTCCTTCAATTATTTAGAAACATGATTCTGAGAAGGGGTCCAAAGGCTTCGCCAGACTGTCCAAATGGAGGCCATCACACACACACACACACACACAAAGAACCCCTGGACTAGATGGACCTCTAAGGCCTCTTCCAACTCAGAATTCATCATCATGTGATATTGTAATCCCAAAGGATTTTTGATAGCTTCAAATGATAGACTGAAGCAGAAATTTGGTGGTTCTGGTGATTGTGAGACTGGCCTTTGGGGTTCTCTGATGACCGACCCATTCCAGATGGATAGAAGAAATTCACAGGGCTGTTCTGTCCATGAAAAGAGATCCTTAAAGAGTGACTTCTATTTTTCTGTTCCTTGGAAGAGTATTTGTAGAGATAGAGGAGTGGGTTCTCTGAGAATCTCTACTAATCTTGTCTGTTCGTAGATTGTTAGAATAATTCTACGTGTGTGTGTGTTTTTGTGTAAGTGTGTGTGTGTGTAATGGTAGCCATCTCTAGGGCAGGGGGTGGGGAGGTAAGAAAAAAAGGGGGGAAATGAAATTTACATGATAACTTTGTTGTATATTTAGAAGGAATAGCAAGTTGAAGATTTGTTGTTTCATGTGCAATCATCTTTTTTTATTGTACTGTGTTATGGAAATGCTTGTTTTGTTCCCTGAATCAAAAATAAAATACATTTTAAAAATTAAAAAAATAATAAACTGAACAAAATACTGAAGTTGGTAACTATTTCTCAGAATCTTCCTGGGGTTGACTCTTATGGTCAACTATGTGCTGCAGTCCTGTGCTAGTTTTGACCAAGTCTGCCTTCATAGGAAATAGCAGTGGAGAGAGTTGGTGTCTAACAGTGCCTCATCTCATGGTCTCATCCTCTCTCACCGAACACCATGGCTTTTTCTGAACTGCCTTGTGTAGCTGGGATGCTTTCCTGCCCACTAAACTTTTCCCTTTCCCTCTAATCCAGAGGTTCTTAACATTTTTTGTGTCATGGACCCCTTTGGTGCTCTGCTAAAGTCTAAGTAAGGAACCTCCCCATCTGAAAAGAATGTTTTTAAATGTATAAAATAAAATCCATAGGATTACAAAGGAAACCAATTCTGTTGAAATATGGTTATCAAAATTCAAAAACAAGTTCATGACCCCAAGTTAAGAAACCCTGCTCCAAACGTCTTTTCGAAGATGTAGATTTCTGGGGCTTAGTGGGGTCAAACAGGGATCTTCGCTTTTTCTACCTTTTGCCAGGAAATGTAAAAACAGACATTAAAACTAAAAACATACAATGTGTGGGTGTGTGGCCAGCCTGCTCTGGAACGGAAGCTTCCTAAGAGACAGGGACCAGGAGGCACGTGTGCTTTCTGAGAACACTGAGCACATGGTGGAGATTTAGAAATCAGTATGAAATAGTTGGGGGGTTTGGCTCACTTCAGAGTTAGAATAAAACATGTCATGCCTTTTACAGCATCTTGATCTCTTTCCCTTTCGGCTTAGTCAAAGAGTCATTGAATCTGAGGAATTGATGAGACCTTAGGGACCCTGTTCCTTATTTTGTAGCTGGGAAACTGAGGGAGAGGTGACTAGTTCTAGAACCCAGGTCTCCTGACCTTCAGTTCAATGTATTTTGAGCTATACCAACTGTTTCCAACCGTTTTGACGATGGGGACCTCTTTTTAACATTAGAATTTCGTGGGACCTCACCCCCTACCACATAATAGTATTTGCTATCCTATTTTTTTTCTATTGATTGAGATGATAACACCGTGACAAAATGACACATAACTCCTTAGTTCCTGGGAGAGGAGGTGGTGGTCTGTGTATCTGAGTTGCCTATGTCTTGTATATGCTTCTATATGTGAATGTTATCTCTTATTAGAAAGTAAGGTCCTTGAGGGTAGGGATTATTTCACCTTCATCCTTGTACTTTCAACACTTAGGAAAGCTCCTGGAACATAGGCACTTAATAAATGCTTGTCGATCGATACATTCTTCAACAAACATCGTGCTCTACTGCCTGGCTCGGAGGTCAAGCATTTGGGGGGATACAGAGGTGGCTGTACATTGAAACTCTCAGGCTAAAAGGGCCAACAGGATGTATATGCTGTTAGTAATAGGTCAGTGAAAAAAATGTGTTAGAGAAGTATGAATTATTGGGAGGGGCAGGGTTAGGAGGTGGCTACCTGAGCTGGATCCTGAAGAGGGAGTAAGATTTGAAGCAGGGATGGACGTTAAAGTTGACGGAATGGACTCAAGCATAAAAGGCAAGAACGAGCCAGGTGCTCCGAACGGAGCTTTGGATGGAGGCCATGGCCGTCTGAATGAAATGCTTTCTTCCCCCCTCAGTTTGTGAGCTGTATGTGCATGCCGACTGCGTCCCGTTTGCCTGCAGTGACTGCCGCCAGTGTCATCAGGACGGCCACCAGGACCACGTAAGTGCGGGAACTTTCCGGATGCCCTGACAGACCTCTGAGGAATGCCCAGGGTTGTGAGACTGTGCCAGGGAACGTTCTTCCCAAATGACAAACAGGGCAGCTTCGTAGAGTTTAGCTGATTTTGGAAAATCTTTCCTTGGCACCTTCTCTGTGCTTGGCTTTGCTGTTGGGGAAGCAGGGGAAAGACGGGGCTTGGGCCCTGCCCTCAGGGAGCTCCTAGTCATAGATTTTATTATCATCTGTATGCAGAAACCTCACCAAGTATGTATCCGGCTCTGTTCTCTCCTCTGAGCTTCAGTTCTTCACCACCTGTTGACTTTTTGGTGTTTCAAACTGGATGTATTAAGGACATCTCAAACTCAGCATGCTCAAAACCAAATTCATTATTTTTTACCCTAAGCTTTCCCCTATTCTTTCTGTCAAAGGCACATCAGCCTTCTGGTCATCCCAGGTTCATAACCCAGACATCATCCATTAGATTATAAGCTCCTTGAGGGCAGGGATGCCTCTTTTTTGTATCCCCAGGGCTTAGCACAGTGCCTGGCACATGGTAGACGCTTAATAAACATTTATTTAGTTGAGTTGAGAATTTAAAGCCTCCTATGATTTGGCTTCTTAGTTTTTCTGAATCATTATTCCTTTCTATTGATTAACACTGTCTCTGATCCTTGTTTTCAGGACACATACCATCATCACTGGAGGGAGGGGAATATCTCATCAAATGCCCGCTGCGAGGTGTGTAAGAAGACCTGTGGGTCCTCAGAGGTGCTGTCAGGCATGCGGTGTGAATGGTGTGGCATTCTGGTAGGTTCCTAATAGTCCCAATCATAAGAACAATTCTTACCCGTGTAACGCTTTAAGGTGGACAAAATGCTTTGGTTCAACAAACTTGGCAGGCGGTCAGTAAACATTTATTACGTGCTTACTCTGTGCCAGGCACTGTGCTGAATGCTGGGGTTACAAAGAAAGGTCAAAGACAGTCCCTGTCCTCAAGGAGCTCACAATCTAATGGGGGTGGGGGAGACAACAGATAAAAGGAAGCATCACATTGTGGAAAGGATAATGGAGTCTGAAGACCTGGATTTGAATCCCACTTCTGCCACTTATATGTAAGGGACCATAGATAGTTCATTTAAACTCTTTGGGCCTCAGTTTCTTGAATAAAGTAATGGAATTGGACTAGACCAGGGCTTCTTAATCTGGAATATGTGAACTTTTTTTTTTAATATATTGATAGCTGTGTTTCAATGTATTTGGTTTCCTTTGTAATCCTTTTTGTTCTGTTTTATGCATTTAAAAACATGATTTTGAGAAGGAGCCCATAAGCTTTACCACATTGCTGGAGATCTTTATTGTCTGCCACCGCTACGGAACCTTTAAGTCCTCAAATGCGGCCCTTTGATTGAATACAAACTTCACAGAACAAATCCCCTTAATAAAAGGCCACAGGTTCCCCATCCCTGACTCTAGTCCAACTCTGAAATCTTATGGCATTTGTGAATTATTACAGTGGAACTTAGGAAGAAACTAATCAAGACAGAACTCTCTGCTTTATATCTTATGTTAGTGAACAACAGAGTTTTGTTCCTTACCTCACACAGCTATTAGGTTAAACTTAATTCAGGGAGCTTTGGGCATGTCAGGAGTATTGGGAACTTGGTTTCTATATCTCTGTAAAATAAAACCTCACCCCTTTGCTTGGTAGTGAAGGCCCTCTCCAATCTTTCACTGTCTACCAGTCCAGGTGATTTCACAGGACTCCCCTCCATTCATTCTTGGCTCCAGCCAAGCAGGATGACTTTCCTTTCAGGACGACCCTGAACATGCCTGGTGCCATTTTTTCCGTGCCTTTGTTCATCATAGTCGCCATGGTTGGAGTGTCCTCCTTGGCCATCTATGGATGTTGAATGTCTATGTATTCTATAAAGCTTCCAGCTCATTAAAGCCTTCCTTGATTTCCCCCCTTATCCCCCAGCCATAACAATGTTCTCCCATAAACTTCACAAAGTACTTGGTTTGCTCCTTTCTAATGTCCTTATCATGGAATAATGTACGTTATAGTGGATCTGTGTTTGTATTTCACCCCCTGTTAGACTGTGGGCGCCATGAGGACAATGACCTCATCTTACCCCAGTGCCCTACAGAACTCTGCACACAGTAGGCACTTAATAGATGTTTAATTGAACCTTGGCTGCTTGTTGCCACAGTATTGCTATTAGATAGAGAACCAGCCAGAGTGGGACGGTTTAGGAAAGAGTTTCTTGTCAAATTCACAGAATTCTCTTGAGAAAGATGTGATTGATTGATTGATTGATTGCTGAATTCTTTGCTCTAGTAGGTTCAGATGCTATCATGTTAGACTTAGGTCTGACTTCTTTGGTGGCTGGTTTTGTCCTGGATTAAAGGGAAATCGGCTTCAAATGAGATGATTTTTTTTTTTTACTGTCAAAGTAGCTGTCTTCTTTATTTCTTCCCCCAATTTATTTATTTATTTTTAGTTTTCAACATTTACTTCCACAAGATTTTGAGTTCCAAATTTGCTCCCCATTCCTCTCCTCCCCCCACCCCATGACAGCCTGCATTCTGATTCCCCCTTCAAATGAGATAATATTTGTAAAGCGAGTAGCACAGAGCCTGGTACACAGTAGGTACTTAATAAACGTTCCCCTTTCCTTTCTTCAGTGGCAGCTTATGCCCTAGCACTGGAAACAGACCTGTCACCTGTCTTCATCTTCCTCTACATGTTCCCCAAGTTTCCCTGGTACATTGAACTTACCTTAGTCCCTGGGTTGCATGCGGTAGGCCTCATGCCATTGGCATGAGACACTGCTAATGCGATTTCTTCCCTTCTCTGAGGTCCCCCAAACCCCTAGTACAACGATCATGAAAAGTTCATCATGATGACCCCAGGGCCCTACAGATCTCTGCTATGCTTTTTGAGTCGCCCAAGAAAGACTGAGTTGTCTTCCATTTCATCCCAGTGTGGAGTTTATTTGCTCTTATAAGGTATCATCAGATTTCCCTGTATGTACTTTTTAGCTTTTCAGTTGTTTAGGGTATAGACCTAGGGTTCTGAGATCTCTCTCAGATCTAGCAGCTCCAGGGAAAAGAGGGCAATTCTCAGAGGTGGTTTTAGAAATAGGGCTATCCTCTGACCTGTGACATAGTCATCTCTGCCCTACCTTAACATCATTCTCTGCACCAGCTTTTGGCAGTTGGCAGCTCAGAGCGCGTGGTCGTATGTTAGACTTGTCCAGATATACACACAGACTCAGGAAACAGTGATCCAGGAATTTTGCAATGCCGAGAACCACACTGTACCTCCACAAAAATTCTTATCTAGTTGATTATCTTTTTTTTAAAATTAAATCATTTTTTTCAAATATCAAGAATATTTTTTGCTCCCCACTTCTCCCCTACACTAAAAAAAAGAAAAAGAAAACCAACCCTTTAAAAAAATAGTCAAGCAAAACAAATTCCCACATTGGCCATGTCCAGAATTGTGTGTCTTATTCTGCATATTTGGTTCATCCGGTCTCTGAGTAGCATCCTTTATCATTGGTCCTCTGGAATTATGGTTAATCATTGTATTGATCAGAATTCCTAAGTCTTTTAAAATTTTACAAGGTTGATATTTTGATATAAATTATTCTCCTGATTCTAATTCCTTCACTCTGCATCAATTCACACAAATCTTTCTAGGTTTCTCTGAAACACTCTTTCTCATAGCACAATAGTACTGCATTACATTCATACACCATAACTTTAGTTAGTCACTTGATGAGCACCCCCTTAGTTTCAAATTCTTTGTTACCCTAAAAAGAGCTGCTGTAAATAATTTTGTACAGATGAGTCTTTTTCTATTTTCTTTAAAATATAGATCTAGTGGGGATATTGCTGCATTAAAAAATGTATGTCCAGTTTAATAATTTTGGAGGCATAGCTCCAAATTGCTTTCCGGGATGGCTGGAGCAATTAATTCACAGCCCCACCAACAGTACATCAAAGTGCCTGTTTTCCCATAACCCCTCCAGCATTTGTCTTTTTCTTTTTGTTGTCAACTTTGCTGATTTGATGGGTGTAACATGGATTTCTTTAATTTGCATTTCTCTAATTATTAGGGATTTGGAGAATTTTTCGATATAAGAACTGCTTTTATGCTTTAACCATTTATCAATCAGTGAATGACTTTTATTCTTAAAAATTGAGTCTGTCCCTTATGTAACTTGCAAGTGAAAACTTTATCTAGCTGATTATCCTTTGGCATCTTTCTGTAACAGAAGAACTGTGAAATAATCATTAGGGTGACCACACTAACACCAGGTCTGAGAGTTTCAGATTTTCCCAGCTTCTGACTGCTCTCTATCTCTTCTACCTTAGGGAAGGAGAGAGAGATTTTCATTCACCTTTTCTCCCCATCTGCTTCCAGGGCTGAGTCTTAGCCATCCTGGCTTCCACTGTTAGATAAGGATTTGTGATATGTCAATCAGCTTGGCCTAACTCTTCCCTGGAATCATTGATATTCACTTTTCTGTAACTTAAGATGGAGAATCTAGGGGAGATTTTTGAGGCTAAATAGATCAAGTGGAGAAGACTGCTAGATGTCTCAGTGGATAGAGCACCAGGTGGGGAGTCAGGAAGACCCGAGTCTAAATCTGGCATCAAACACTTACTAGCTCTGTGTCCCTGGGAAAGGCACTTGACCTATGTTTGCCTCAGTTTCCTCAATTATAAAATGGGAATAAGAAATGCCCTTACCTCTCAGAGAAATAAGACAATATTTGTGAAGCTTTTAGGACAGTGCCTGGCAGATAATAGGTGCTATGTAAATGCTTATTCCCTTCTCCCTTCCCCTATTTTGTGACTTTAGCTCTCCTTCCAAAAGGGAATTTCAGGTAGGAAGCAGCAGGAATCTGGAATAGCCTTCACTCTTGGAGTAGATGCCATTCTTGGAGGAAAGCATAGTAAAAGGGGTTGTTGTTCAATCATCCAGGCATATTCGGCTCTTCATGACCCAATGCTTCTTTTTTTTTTTAATTTTTTATTAATTTATTTTGATTTATCAACAATCACTTCCTTATGCTTTTGAGTTTAAAATTTTTCTCTCCCTTCCTCCCCAAGATGGCGCACAATCTGATATAGGCTATACATTTACATTCATATTAAACATATTTTCACATTAATGATGTTGTAAGTAAGAATTAGAACCAACAGGAGGAACCACCAGAAAGAGGAAACAAAACAACAGAAGAGAAAAAAATAGCAATTCAAATTCCCTAGTTCTTTCTTTGGTTGTGGATAGCATTTTCCATCACGAGGCCTTTGGAGATGTCTCAGATCTTTGTATTGCTGGAAAGGGTTAAGTTTATCAATATTAGTCATCGCACAACGTGGCTGTTACTGTGTACAATGTTCTCCTGGTACTGCTCACTCCACTCAGCATCAGACCATACAGGTCTTTCCAGGTTTTTCTGAAGTCAGCCTGCTCATCATTTCTTATAGCACAGTAGTATTCCATTACATTCATATACCACAACTTGCTCAGCCATTTCCCAATTGATGGGCATCCTCTCAGTTTCCAATTCATTGCCACCACAAAAAGAGCTGCTATGAATATTTTTGTACATGTGGGCATGACTCCATACGTCTCCAATGTGTACCCATTTTATAGATGAGGAACTGAGGCAAATGGAGTTAAATGACTTGCCCAAGGTCACACAGATAGTAACTGAGGCAGGTTTGAACTCAGAACTCAGATCTTCCTGACTCCAGGACCAGTGCTGTATTCACTGCACCACCTGGCTGTGGGGAGCTTTAGAGGAGGGCTTAGAAAACAGGAAAAAGATTGAATGTTTTGGGGCCTGAGAATGCCTCCAGACACCTGCATCTTCTGTGGAGAGAAGGCAGTTTTGTTCTGCCGAGTGAATTCAGTGTGATTTATGAACTCCTTGAGTACTGAACTCTGTTGAGCAAACTCAGCACATATTTATTAAGCACCTACAGTATACAAAGCCCTATGCTTGGTGCTGGGGTAGAGACAATGTTTAAATATGGTCTCTCCCTTAATGGAGCTTACAGTCTAGTAAGGTGATAAGACAGATTCACACATACCTGTAGCAGAGGAGAAGCAGCATTATGCTGCAGTGAAAAGAAGACCTCTCCAGGGAATCAGGAGGCTTGGGTTCGAGTTCCCCTTTGGCCACTTACTAGTTGAAATCCACTCACCCTTGATCTCAGTACCCTTCTCTGTGATATGGGCATGACAATGCTTGTATGATGTACAGCACGGGGTTGTTGAGAGAATGTGTGTTGTAAGCCACAAGGTACTATAGAAATGGAAGCAATGATTATTTTCTCTTTCTGGGTCTCTTTTTCCTCACCTGTAAAATGAGGAAGTTGGAGTCAAAGTTCATTTAAGTCCCTTTCAGCTCTGACCCTGGGATTCTGGGAAACTAAGGCATAGAAAGATGGAGTAACTTGGTGGCCACATAACTACTGAGTATAGAGCCCTAACGGAAACCCAGGCCATCTGGCTCAAGCCCAGGGCACATTCTCTATACCCTGTACCACCTTTTTTTGGGGGGAGGGAGGAGGCAATTGAGGTTAAGTGACTTGTCCAAGGTCACACAGCTAGTGAGTGTCTGAGGCTGGATTTGAACTCAGGTCTTCCTGACTCCAGGGCTGGTGCTCTAACCACTGCACCACCCATCTGCCCGTTGTACCATCTCTTAAGGGCAAGATAAGAGATTTTAATGTTCATCTGGAGTATTTGTTAATAATAATAACAGTGATAGCAATAATAATAATAATAGACATTTCTATAGTCCTTTAAGGCGATCACAGCTTCTTAAACTTTTTCCACTCACACCCCTTCAGCACTTCTTAAACTGTGGGGATGATGCTGAATAGATGACCTCTTGATTCCCACAACAACCCTCTGAAGTAGGTACAATTATTATCCTCTTTTTTTTTTTCTGGTTAATTTATTTATTTTGTGCTTAATAGTATTTTATTTTTCCCCAATTTTTATTTTTTCCATTTTCCAATGTAAAGATAGTTTTCAACATTCATTTTTGTAAGATTTTGAATTCCAAATTTTTCTCACTCCTTCCCCTCCCCCCTTCCCTAAGACAGCAAGCAGTCTGATGTAGGTTATACATGTACAATCATGTTAAATATATTTCCACATTAGTCATATTGTAAAAGAAGAATTAGAACAAAAGGGAAAAACCATGAGAAAGAAAAAAACCAAGAAAAGTGAAAATAGTATGTATGCTTCAATCTGCATTCAGACTTTGTAGTTCTTTCTCTGGATGTGGATAGCATTCTCCATCATGAGTCTTTTGGAATTGTCTTGGCTCATTGCATTGCTGAGAAGGGCTAAGTCTATCAAAGTTGATCATCGTATTATCCCCATTTTAGGGATCATAAAACTGAAAGCTTGGAGAAATTAAGTGATTTGTCTGAGATCGTGCAGCAAATAAGTGTCAGAGGGAGAACTCAAAACTCAGGTTCTTGTTCACTATGCCATCCTGCCAGAAAAGCTATTAGAAATAATCTAGGGGCAGCTAGGTGGCGCAATGGATAGAGCTCCAGCCTTGGAGTCAGGAGGACCTGAGTTCAAATCCGGCCTCAGACACTTACCCCAACTGCCTCAGCAAAAAAAAGAAAAAAAGAAAAAAAAAAGAAAAAATCTAGCCCGAGCTGCCCATTTTACAGAGGAGGAAGCTGTGGCCTAGTGAGATTATAACTTCACCAAGATCACCCAGATAGGAAATATTGGAGGTGGGATTTGAATTCAGGTCCCACACCTACAAATCCTGGAGTCTTTTCACTTGCTCTCTGTACTTCTCCATTTCCCAGGTCCTTCACCTTTCCTGTTTCTTCTTGATACAAGATTTTCCCATTGGGTGTTTGTCTTAGTGTTCAGGGTTGAATCTTTGTTGTGACTTTTTCTTTGTTGCTGTGGTTTGATTTGGTTCTAGGCTCACACGGCCTGCTATGCTGTCGTAACCCCCGAGTGCACATTTGGCCGACTGAAGAACATGATTCTTCCCCCTAACTGTGTGCGTTTGTCCTCTCGAAATTTCAGCAAAATGCACTGCTTCCGGATATCAGAGAGCATCCATACGGAGCCAGGTATGGGGGGAAAGTACAGCCCTTTTTTTTTTTTTTTTTTTTTTTTTATAAATAGTAATTCATAGAATCATAGAATTGGTGAGTCAGAAGAAACCCCGGAGGCCATCTGGTCTATCCCTGAACCAAACGATGAGTCATAGCCGATTTACCAATCCAGGTGTCCGAAATCTTTGTTATCTCATCTATAAGGGATGGACAGAGGCAAAAACACTATCTCCATCCTCAAGAAGAAGCTTGCACCTCTCGTTGGGGATGCATCTAACAGGCCTCTGTGTTACCCATCTATCCAATGAAGAGGCCATACTCCATCTCTCCTTGGAAGCCAAGCCAAATAAACCCAGCCCCTGGGTGGGGGAGGGGGAGAAACCTTTTGGATAGTTAAAAGATTGTTGTTGTTTGTCCTTTGTTGTCTAAGAGGACCAAAGACTTCAAGAGGGCAGTGACTTGACTTGCAAATGAATTGGATTTAAGTGAGGCAGAGCTAAGATACCAGCCTCATTCTGTCCTCCAGAGTCATGGAAGTCCAGTGGCAAGGCATAGGTCAGGACTACTGGCGATGGCACCGGACAGATAGTTGAAAACAGTGATTATGCCCCTCCTGACTGCTAGTTGATCCTCTAGGATGGCAGAGCCTCGCCAGAACAAAGAAGTAATGTTAAAGATTCAATTCCAACAGACTTTTGTTATTCACCTGCTCTGGAGAGACAAAGATAAAAAAAATGACAATTTCAGTCTTTCAAGGAATTTGGTGTCTACTAAGTGGAGATGTTACATGTACACAAATCAGTATTAAATAAGGTAGAGGGTAATATGAGCAAAGGAGAGATTGTGAAACGAAGTGCCTTGTAAACTATAAAGGACTCCAGAAATGTGAGTACTGGCAATAGTTGTTGTTTCCTTCCGGACAAAATGCTCTGGGAACATTTGAATGTGGCCAGTGGTATTTTAGGAAGAGTGACCTGGCAGCACTATGTTAGGGGGACTGGAGGGGAAAGAGACTGGAGGCAGGGAGAGCAGATAGGAGACGATCACGATAACCCAGACACAAGTGGGGGAAATGAAGCCAGAGTTCTGGCGGTGAGAACGGAAATGAAGGGGTGGCCAGGAGTGATTTGATAAAGAAAGAATGGCCAGGACTTGGTGAATGATCTAGGGGTGAGAGAGGAGAGATAAGGGTGACCCTAAGGCTTTTGGGTTGTGACTCCTCCTTGTAGAATGTAAGCTCCTTCAGGGCAGGGATTCTTGTGTTTTATTTTTTGTACCTCAAGGGCTTAACCAATGCCTGGCATGTGGTAGGAACTTAGCGAATGCTTCTTATATTGGATTGAATCAAAGGTAAAGATAGCAAGGTTTCAAATCTGAGTGACCTAAAGAACAGAAGTGTCATCCATCAGAAGGGAGCTACCTTGGGAAGTCAGAGCCCAGGAGCGTGTGTGAGAAATGGAGTACCATCGTGGTTGGGAATACATTGACAGTGTAGTTCAGTGGAGAGAACATCAGAATGGCAGTCAGGATACCTGGGCTCTGCTCATGAGCAGTGGTGTGGCACCATAGAAGGGTACTGGATTTAGAGTTGGGAAACTCGTCTTTTAAAACCTGCCTCTGGCATTACATACTTGGTGACCGTAGGCATGTTGTTTAACCTCTCTGTGCCTCGGTTTTCTTATCTGTAAAGTGGAGATAATTATGCCCATAGTACCCACCTCACAGTCTTGTGAGGCTCACATATTTAAAAGTGTTTTGTAAACTTCAAATCTCTTATTGTGATTACTCCGGTTTCTGTCACATAATATCATAGAATTTAGAACTGGGAGGAACTTCAGCGATCTCAAATAATTCAACTCCTCATGATATAGATGTGGAAACTGAGGGTACACAACCTGCCTGAGGGCAGTCAGGTTGTAAATAGCACAGTTGGGATTAGAATCCAGGTTCAGAACCTCCAAATAGGGCCTGCTTTATTATAGACCGTACTTGCTGATTTGCTAGCCGTGTAACCATGAATAATTACTTCTTTCTGAACCTTTGTCTACTTATTTGTTAAATGAGGACAATAATAGTGATCACAGGGCTTGTTGAGGATCAAATGGGAGTGTAGACACATGTTAGTGGTTTGGAAAGGAGACACCCCCCCCCCCCCCAGTCCATTACAGGGATCTGAGGTTTGACTGCTAAGGTAGAACCCATTTTGCAGGAGTGCTGTGGAGAGAGTCGGGGTGGGAGTGGAGGGTGGGGGAAGGAACGGGAGCACCCTGGAGAGGGTCAGTGGTCATGACAGAGGTGGGAACTTGCCTGGTGAGTGGAGGTTGCTGTCATCCACATCAGGGAAGGCCAGACTGAGACTGTGCAGATTGTATTTTGAGTATCTGAGATGCCACACTGGCTAATTGGGTGCTCTTTGAGGTCCCCCTAGAAAGTAGTCAAAGGACATTGGAAAGTGCCATTCCTTCTGTTTTAGGAGTTTCTCTGAGCCTTGATGAAGAGGAGCCAGGATGCTGGCCTGTGTCTTTAATGGAAGGTGCATCTTGTTGTATCTGAATATCAAATAGTTTGGGTTTTAGAGTGATTCCCCACATTATGGATAAACACTATTACCAAGGGTGCTTGGGAAGTTGGGTTTTCTAAGGTTTCATATTTTAAAGTTACATAAAGTTTGTGAAATGGGCAGCTAGGTGGCATAGTGGATACCTGGATTCAGGAAGATGAGTCTCATCTTCCTAAGTTCAAATCTGGCTTCAGACACTTACTAGCTGTGTGACCCTGAGCAAGTTACTTCACCCCGTTTGCCTCAGTTTCTTCATCTGTAAAATGAACTGGAGAAGGAAATGGCAAATCACTCTAGGATCTTTGCCAAGAAAACCCCAAAAGGAGTCATGAAGAGTTGGAAACAACTCAACAACAACAAAAATTTGTGAACCAAACACTAGCTGTAATTTGGGAAAGTAGATGGCAAAAACCTAAATGAATTATTCATTTATTGTTGTTTGAGTGACCTAGAACCTCCTTCTTCTTTGCAGATGATGGCGATGATGCTGTGGACACTGGCCCAACTCCAGGGTCATTGAAAGATGTCCAGATTTCTACAGACTCCAGTAAGTAGTTTTATCAGAGGGAGAAAACTCTTGAATAAAGGAAATGTCATAGATTGTGTAGCTTTTTAAAATGAGTATTGTCTATGACCTTCCCTGGAGTTTATGTCGTAGTGAACTTCCCTATGGACATATGCATTATGTATGTATCTTCTCAGCTGAGGACAGGATAGGAGAAAGGTCTGTGAATGTGTCTTTATGTTAACCTGTGAAAATCTATTCCTTCCATTTTTATGTCAACAAAACCACAATTGACCAGAGACCCTAAGCAGCTGGAGTGTTTCCTGCACTTAATGGGGAAGGTGAAGGGTTTTTCTTGACCTTTCACCAGGGATGAGAAATAAGCTCTTGTCATATAGTTATCTTAAAAAGCTCTGCCTCTAAACACTTACTAGCTGTGTGACCCTGGGCAAGTCGCTTAACCCCATTGCCTAACCAAAAAAAAAAAAACCTCTGCTTCTACAATATATTCCAGGCTCAGGGTCCACCCAGCCCAAATCTTCTTTTTTCAGAGTCCTCTGTAGTGAAGTCTGGTGTTTAGCATTTGTATCAGTGATTCCAAATCCATTGATGGCATATATCTCCCATTTGTAAACCTGGGAAGAATGATTAATATATCTAACACTAGAGCCCAGAACCAAGAAGATGTCAGTGGTCTAGAAAGATGGGCCAGCCCTAACAAAAATAAAATTTAACAAAGATAAATATAAAATCTTACAATTGGGTTCTCAAAATCACCTTATTCTTTTTCAGTGCTACTATATATACTAGCCATGTGAATAACTTACTTCCTGTCTCTGAGCCAACGTTTGCATTTGGTTTTTTAAAAAAGCAACTGTAAAAAGGATGTGGCAGGTATAGATAGATCATTCACGGGTTTTAGTGGACCACAAATTTAATGAGTCAGTGGTGTGGCCAAAATAGATAATGTGAACCAAAGGGATAGGGAGAGGACCTGTGATTTCACTGGTATAATGAACTCTCAGATAGGGAAACTCCTTCTATCAATGTAAGTTGGCACCTTCTCTGCAATTTGAAGATCTTAACGGGTTGCTTAGAGCACTGAGATTCACCCAGCGAATATGTGTCCCAGGGGTGCCTAGAACCCCAGTCTTCTTGGTTTTAAGTCCAACTTTTGCCTCACTAGAGCTTTACTGTTCAGGGTAAAGGCTCTAGACAGTTTTGGTCAGAGCATCTCTGGGAAATGGTACTCAGATGCGGGCCCTACTTTTGTGTCAAAGATATTGATAAGCTTGAGTTCTTATAGAGGAGGGTGGCCAGGAAGGTGAGAGAGGTGAGCTCTGGAGACCCTGAGAGATTGGTGGAAGAACTTGGGAAAGTTTACCCTGGCAAAGAGAAGGTCTAATAGGGGCACAATTGCTCTCTCCACATATTTGAAGGGTTGTTATGGAAGAAGAATTCAACGTGCTGTGTGGCCCTAGAGACAGAAACAGGGACATGAGTGGCAGATGCAGATTTCTGCTTGACAGAAGTCAAAAAACATGGACAATTCATCCTGTTCAAAAGTGGAACGGGCTATCTTTGGAGGTGACCCTGTAAGGGGAATTCCTGTTAGATACAAATGGGATGCCCTCTGAAGTCCCTGTCAGATAGGAAGTTCTATAGTCCTGTGACCTTGTGGTCCTGCCAAAAGTCTTGCTCTTTGGAATTGCAGTGAGACTTATTGGACTTTGCTAACTAGGGTAGATGTGAACAGAGATAAGTAGTGACAAGCTAAGAACAAACTCTCAGACTTGCAGCCTAGATAGAAACTTAACAGATTAACTCTCAGTTGCTCAGATCTGCCCATTACCTAGCATCCTCTGGATGGTAGGTTATACGTTATCTTTACCTATTAGAATATAAGCTCCTCGAAGGAAGGGGCTGTCTTTTGTTTTGGTTGTATTCCTCTCCCGGGGCGCAGTACCTGGCATATGTGAAATATGGAATGAATGACTGATGACTTGACTGCATGGTGCTCTCCATCCTGTATCCCTTGTGTCCCATCTCTTTGCCCCTTCCCTTCAGGCGTGCTGAGAGAAGAAAGAATAGACTTCACTGGCGGCGGTGGGGGGGGCACATACTGCCCCTGCCAGAGAAAGTGTTTAAACAGAGAGAATCACAGACTCTATGAGCTAGAAGGGACTGCAGATGTTCTGTACTCCCACCCTTCACTCCCTTCCGGCTTCCTCCAACAGACATCCATGACAAGTGATCACAGTCTTGGTTTTGAGACCTCTAGTGAGAGGGAAACTCACTTTCTCCCTGAGGCAACTTATTCTGCTCCTCCATAGAAATCTTTTGTTAGAAAGTTTTTCAGAACATAGAACTTAAATATGCCTTTCTGAAACGTCTACTCTTTGTTCCAGATGGAAGAAATCGAATCCTTCTTCCATTTGACTACTCATTAGCCTTGGAAGATTGATGTCACGATCTCCTTAAGTCTTCTCTTCTCCCCAGTCAGCATCCTCCATTCTCTCCATAGATTCTCAGGATCTTATGATCCTCTCTCCTTTGCTTTCTATGCTCTCACCATCCTCGTCAGTCTCTTCTTCATATATCAGTTGGTTAGTCAACTGGTATGTTTTAAAAATTAGCATTTTATTTTTCCCAATTACATGTGAAGACAATTTTTAATCTTTATTTTTAAAAAACTTTGAGTTCCAAATTTTTTCCCTTCCTCCCTTACCTCCCCCCTCCCTAAGATAGTAAACAATTTGACAGGAGTTTTATATTTATATAATACAGTCATGTAAAACACATTTACAAATGAATCATGTTGTGAAAGAAGAAACAGACCAAAAGGAAAAAAAAACATGAAAAAATGCATAAAGGGAAAAAAGTGTGCTTTGTGCTGCATTCAGACTCCATCAGTTCTTCCTCTAGAGGTGAACAGCATTTCGCAGCATGAGTCCTTTGGAATTGTCTTGGATCATTGTATCGCTGAGAAGAGCTAAGTCGTTCACAGTTGATCATTGTACAGTGTTGCTGTTACTATGTACAGTGTTCTGGTTCTGCTCACTTCACTCTGCATCAGTTCATGTAAGTGTTTCTAGGTTTTTCTGAAATCAGCCTGCTTATCATTTCTTATAGCACAATAGTATTCTATTACAATTATATGACACATCTTGTTCAGCCATTCCCCAATGGATGGGCATCCTCTGAATTTCCAGTTCTCTGCCACCACAAAAAGAACTGCTATAGATATTTTTTAAAAACTTCTTTTTTTAAAGCCTAGTAGTGGTCTGTGTAATTTTTGATTACTGGATCAAAGACTAGGCACAGTTTGGTGGCCCTTTGGGCATGGTTCCATATTGCTCTCCAGAATGGAAACTGGCATTTATCAAGTGCATGCAATGTGCCAGGTACTCTGCTAAGTGCTGGGGAGAAAAAGAAAGGCAAAAGACAAACAGTGCTGTGTGTGTGTTCCAGTTTGAAAATATCTTTGTAAAGATGACGTACCCAGAGCCATGCCCAGCACTCCAGATGGCGAAGCAGTGGTGGGTCTATGTATCACTGCTGTTTCTCTGGACAATATGCCTTGATCAGTGCAGCCTAAGATCCCCTCAGTTGTTCGGGCTACCCAAAGAGGGATGAGGGGGCTGGTGGTTGTGGTGGTGGTGGTGGTGGTAGGAGCTCAGAGGAGCAACACCTCAGAAGCGCTGCTTTTAGCTAAGTGGCAAGAGGATTTGGAAGACTGAGATAATTACTTTTCTAAGGCATTTAACAGACTTATCACAGCCCAATTAATGCAGCAGGGAGCCTCCAGATGGAACCAACAGAGAAGAAAAATGTTTTTGTAAAATTCCCCAGGTGTCTAAATGCCGCTCACTAGGGAAGACTAGAAAAGAGAAGGGGAAAAAACTCCCAACATTTAATCCCTTGGAGGCCTGGTGGTGACTTCACAGATTCAGAAGCCCCCAGACTATCAGCTCTGAAAGGGACCTTCAGGCCCAGAATTAACAGGAGTGTCACCATCTAGGATCATCAGAGCTGGAAGGGACTTTGAAAGGCCATGTAGTCTGACTCCCTCATTTTACAAATGAGGAATCTGAGGCCCAGAGAGAAGAAAGGACTTGTCAAGGTCATATAGATACCAGGAACTACACCTCAGATCTCCAGATCCTTAGAGTTCAGAGGATTGCTCTGTAAATATTGGCACATTTGCAAAAAAGATAACTGCTTGTCTTCTAGGGTAGGATAGGATGTTCCCAGCATGCATTTAAACATCTGCAGCCACAGAGCCTCCATGCCAAGTCATTTCCCTGCGTCTATGGAGCCCTCAGCAGCAGGCATGCTAGAAATAATGCCCCTCCCCCCCATAAAGCCAAATGATTCTGTTGGCTTCTTGCTCAGATCAAGGAGTATTCTTGCTTGCCCCACAGAAGACAAGAGGACAGGAAATGGTCTCTGGATTTACCATCTCTTTCACCCAATCCTCTTGCTATATACAAATAACCAGAGAGTCCAGGCATCAATGTGACTATCTTCTTGTCTCTTCTCCTCTGACCCTTAGAACATTTGCAATCTCAAGCACACTGGGAATTTTTTCTTGGCCTCACATTCTCAGACTGCGGGAATCATTTTAGCCAGAAGGAAAACCCCTCTCCAGACAGATGGAGAATAGCAGTTGTTAGAGGTAGCTGCTAGTTTAAACTAGCAGCCTGGATTAATGGATTTTGACTGCACTGCAGGTAAAGGCCATTAGAATCTTCCTTAGGTTCAGATTTAACCACATCATTTCCCTGCTCAGACACTTCACAATTCCTCTTATCTACAGAATAAAATACAAATTCAGGCTGACATTTCAGGTATCGTGCTACAATTATACCTTGTGTTACCCAGCACAATGTCTTGTATGTAGTAGGCACTTAATCAATGCTTACTGATTTGACTTACATAACCCTATCTTTCTTTTTTCTTTTTTTTTTTTTTGGTAAGGCAATTGGGGTTAAGTGACTTGCCTAGGGTCACACAACTAGTAAGTGTCAAGTATTTGGTCTGAGGCTGGATTTGAACTCAGGTCCTCCTGACTCCAGGGCCAGTGCTCTATCCACTGTACCATGTAGCTGCCCCCATAACCCTATTTTTCACACTGGGCAATCTCTTCCCAAAAAGACGTAGGAACAGCTCAGAAATTCAGAGTTCAGATATGCTCTGTGAGGTAGAATCTGATCTTGTACTTTTCATCATAGGTCATACCTGGCTGGTATATCAGTGTGTAGGAAGACACTTGGACCCAGGTCACTGGCCTCCACAGTCACCATCCACTCCCCTGTCCCCACTCTTTTATTCTCTGATCTGTACACAAACAGGGACTTCCCAGCAACGTGTTTGCTCTGCACCGCATTGACCCAACGTGTCAATCTTTCACACAATCCTTGAATCACTCGTTCGACAAAATCTTTCTCCTGCTGAGCTGTGGTGAAGTCTCTACACACTCGGTGCCCACTTACTATAATCACTGGTCCTCTCTGCACACGGTTCTGTAGCTACTGCTCTCTCTCTCTCTTATAAAAATTTATTTTGATGCTATCCACATCCAAAGAAAGAACTGTGGAGTTTGAATATAGATTGAAGCATATTATTTGCTATTTTTTTTCTTCTGTTTTGTTTCCTCTTTCTGGTGGTTCCTCCTATTGGTTCTTTTTTTTTTTTTTTTTTTTTTTTTTTAGTGAGGCAATTGGGGTTAAGTGACTTGCCCAGAGTCACACAGCTAGGAAGCGTTATGTGTCTGGGGCTGGATGTGAACTCAGGTCCTCCTGACTCTAGGGCCGGTGCTCTGTCCGCTGTGCCACCTAGCTGCCCCCTCCTATTGGTTCTAATTCTTCCTTACAACATCACTAATGTGAAAATGTGTTTAATAGGAATGTATATGTATAGCTTACATCAGATTGCACTCTGTCTTGGGGAGGGAGGGGGAGAAAAATTTAAAACTCAAAAGCTTATGGAAGTGATTGTTGATAAATCAAAATAAATTTTAAAAAATAATTAAAAATTTTATTTTGAAACAAATTTTTATTGATGTCTTGTTTTTCACATCACGATAATTATCCCCGGTATCTCTCTTCCTCCTCCTCCTCCCAGAGAGCTATTCCATTTAACAAATAGTATTTCTTAAAGATTAAAAAGAAGAGGGGGAGGCACAGTTGATCGATACATTGAGGAAGTCTGAAAACCTGTGGAATATGCCACACCTGTGACCTCCAGCCTACACAAGGGAGTGGGTTGGGGAGGTCGTCTCATCTTTCTTCATTTGACTCCTGCTTGATCTTTATCATTTTGATACATTCACTTGATTTTTTTGGTGTATAGTTGTTCTTTCCATTTGCATTGTTGTAGTTACTGTGTAGATTTTCTTGGTGTTGCTTACTTTTCTCTGCATCAGTTCATGTGTATATTTCCATGCTTCTCTGTATTTGTCACATACATAATTTCCTGCAGCGCAGTCATATTGCATTACATTTGTGTATTTCGGTTTGTTTAACTGTTCCCCATTCGATGGAGTTCTTTGCTATCACAAAAAAGGGCTGCTGTCAATATTTTGGTATCTATGGAGATGTTCTTCTTGATGGCTTCCTTGGGTTAGTATAAGCCTAGTAATGAAGTCTGTGGTTCAAAGTTTTAGTCACTTTATTTGCATAATTCCAAATTGCTTTCCAAAATGGTTGTACCACTTTGCAGGTCTACCAGCAATGGATAGCACGCTTATCATTCTATAACCCCTCCAGCATTGACTATTCCTATCTTTTGTCATCTTTGCCAATTTGAAAGATGTGAGGCAAAAACCCAGGGTTGCTTTGATTTGCATTTCACTTATTAGTGATTTAGAGCATTCTTTCATGTACTTGTCAATATGTTACAATTATTCTTTTGACAACTCTTTGTTTCTACAAACATACATATGTAGGTATAAATATATAGACTCACATATGTGTATATATATACATGCACACATATATGTACATATACTGTGTGTGTACATACACAACACACACACATATCTAAACCACTTACCTATTGGGGAATGGCCATTAGTTTTAAATTGGCTTAATAGAATGATGATCGCTGCCCAGGTCTTCCCTTCCTCCCAGGGCTGTTGTAAAGATTAAATTACATGATAAACATGAAAGTGCCTCTGAACTGTGGAGCATTGCACATATGTAAGGGATCATAGTGGAAAAAGCATTGGATTTGGAGTCAGGAAGACCTGGGTTTAATCTCACCTCTTATGCAATGCAGATGTATGATTATAAACAAGTCACTTAATCTCTCTGACCCTCAGTTTCTTCATCTGTAAAATGGGAATAATAGAAGGCAGGTAGGCAGAAAGGAAACAGGCATGGAGATGCCTATTATGTGCCCGGCACTGGAGTAAACACTTTACAAAAATTATTTCATTTGATCCTCACAACAACCCTGGGAGATATTGTTATCCCCATTTTACAGTTGAGGTAGACAGGTTAAGAGACTTGCCCTGGGTCACTCAGCTTGTAAATATCTAAGGCCAGATTTGAACTCAGGTTTTCCTGACTCCAGGCCCAGTGCCCTATCCACCACTACCTCTACCTATAAAACAAGCAATAATAATGATTACTTGTACTTACCTCGCTAGGATTAAATAAAATGCTTTGTGTCAAGTACTTTGCAAACTTTAAAGTACTATGTAAATATCAGCTCTTGTTATCATCATCATCATCTTCATCGTTTGAGAGGCAGCATTATGTAGTAAACAGAGAGCCAGACTTAAAGCCAGGAAGGCCTGGATGTGAGACCTGCCTCTGACTGGGACTCTGGACAAATTACTTCACCCCTCGGGATTCTATTTTTTTTTTTAATTTTTTTTTTTTTAGGCAGTTGAGGTTAAGTGACTTGCTCAGGGTCACACAGCTAGTAAGTGTCAAGTGTTTGGTCTGAGACTGGATTTGAATTCACGTCCTTCTGATGCCAAGGCTGGTGCTCTATCCACTGCACCACCTAGCTGCCCCTATCCCTCGGGCTTCTAGGCACCTCTGTAACACTGTAAGTTAAAGAGGAGGTGCCAGCCTCCATCATTAGAGAGTGTTTTCTTACCTGAGAGTTCTCCATGGCCATGAAATTACAGGTACGATTCCTATCCCCTATCTGTACTTCTTTCTAACAAGTAATCGAAATTGCTAGTGATGAACAAGGCAATGGAAAGACCTACAGCGGGTGTTAGTAGGCTGCTGCGTATTTCCACCCTGTATCTAAGATTTGACATCGAAAGTAAAAGTATCAGAATATCTGCCTCCTCTTGTTTCTTTCATTCGTATTTCCATCAACTCACCTTTATTTTATCTTTGCCTTCTTACCTACATACCCTTCCAAACTGAAATTTGTCTTTTTACAAGTTGCTCTAATAAAGGATTCAGGAGATGTGAGATCCGAAAATCCTAAGTACTTGCCAAAAGCAAAGGATAACAGGTGGGCAGTGCCTTGGATCCCCACCAAATGGAAAGCGCCCCAGAGGAAGGCTCCTGGCATGCTAGATAGATCCTCTTTGTGGGATTTATGAGAAGGTGTAGAGAAGAGTTAAATATGAAGGAATCTGAGATCTAAGGAAGGGGAGATGACTGGTCCAAGGACAAGCAGACATGGACGTATTGCAGTCTACACTGTTGTGTTGAAGTCTACACTGTCGGAGGGAGGGGACACCCACATCATGGAGATCCCTGTAAGATCACAGAGCCTTATAAGTCTCGAAGTTTAGACATTGTTAAAAACCATATTCCTAGTCCACACTAGCCTGCGTTGAAAAGCAGCTGCCACCCAGATGTCCTATAAAGAACTGTCAAGTGAGGAAATAAGTAGAAAAGGTGTCCCCTACACCTTCTCCTTGCCATCCTTTTCTTTGTAATGCCTATGCTACTGAGCGTGCTAGGTTTTAGTGTATGTTCTTATGTGGGAGTCTGGGGGTCAGTCTAGGCTCGAGTCAGGAGACAGTCTGGGGCTAAGGTCAGAGGTCAGCCAGGAACTGCGTCAGGGCTTCATCCGACCCATGCCAAGGATTGTTTTGGAGCTGGAGTCACGTCTCTGCCTGGGACTTGATTTGGATTTTTTTTCTCCTTGTCTTGTCTAAAAAAAAAAATGCTGCATTTAAGAAATTCTGTGCCTTTTTTCCTCTTAGGCAAACAGACACTGAAGATCTTTGATGGTAACGATGCCGTGAAGCGCAACCAATTCCGGCTGATCACCACTCCCAGGATAGCAAAGACCGGGGAGGTCGTGGTAAGAGACGGCATAGTCTCGGATGGCAGGAGCTGGATCGACCCCCAGCTCATAGCCCCCTCTGGGGGTGTGGGCTGGACCAATCTGCTTTATCTTCACTGTACTGTCTGTGCTATTCAACTCAATTTAATTCAACAGACTTTTATTAAGTAACTTCTAGGTGTAAGACACTGGGGTTGGAGACAAAGAAAAAACCTGATCTTGAGAAGCTTTTTTTACTGAGGGGAGGATACATTATTACTATAATTCACAGTTAAATTGACAAAGGAGTGAGCTAGCGCTTGGGGAAGTGTTGGGAATGCTACGTACAGGAGGTGGCATTTGAGTTGAGCCTTGAAAGGAAACGAAAATTGTGAGAAACAGACACAAGGTTCATCCAGAGCCTTGGGGCATTCCTACACTCATGGAGTCATCTCCTAAATATTTCAGAAACTGTATGCATATATTTTTAAAGAAATGACCGACTGCCTCTTCTTCTGGTCTTGCAGGAGGCGGCCTTGAGGGCTTATTACATTAATGAGGACCAGCGAGACTTTGAGCTGCAGACACTGACCCAGCAGGCCATGGCTGATTGTGCAACTCACAAAAATGGAGCCTCGGAGGACGCCAGCAGCACTAGCATTCCCTCCACGTTCAGAGAGTCCATGCCTGAAGCCTTAATCATTCATGCCAAGCCCAAGGATCGTGAAGTTATAAAAATTTACCCGGCTTGGCTGAAGTGAGTGGAGGGGCACCTGCCGGATGGGACTGATGTCAGGGTGGGAGTTGAAACCAGGACTTCCTGACTGCAAAGAAGGAAGACTATTCACTAGGCCATGTTTCCTGTCCACTAATTACATTAGTGAGGTGTCAAAGTGAGGAAGGTCATTCCTGACCGGGGAATCCAGGGGTCATAGCAGTCTGTTCATAACCAGAATTTGTTTGGCTTCATGTGGATGTATTTGTTATCCTGGATCTAAATGGAGCTGATTGGTTTCTCTACTTAAAATGGGGATAAGTCCAGTGGGGTGCTAGTAAACATTTGTGTTTTGTTTTGTTTTGTTTTTGGTGAGGCAATTGGGGTTAAGTGACTTGCCCAGAGACACATACTAATGAGTATTATGTGTCTGAGGCCAAATTTGAACTTAGGTCCTCTGACTCCAGGGTCAGTGCTCTATCCACTGCACCACCTAGCTGCCCTGCTAGTAAATATTTAAAAACCACCTCTGAAAAAAAAAATGTGCATGCAGCACACTCCTATGTTTAATTGGCATTAATAGCATTTTTTCATCACTGTCTTCAGTCTAGACAAGTCAGCAAAAAGTTAAGCTCTGATTTGTAGTATTTGCCAATATCTGATATATAAATGTTCAGGCTAAAAGTTTAATGGCTGCCTCTTGTGAGCTGGTTTGAGCTGGCTCCAGCATACCCTTGGATGAGGTGCTTTGTATTGGGAAATGGGTAGGAATTTGTGGATTCTGTTGTCGACCCCCGTGAGGAACTGGCTCCCCCTCTTCTGACTCCCCATACATCCCATATTTTATATAGCCTTTAAATGAATCCAACTCAGTCAGGCACTTTCCCTTTCCCGAGAGATCTGAGACAGTCTACTCAGAAATTTCAGTCATTTGAAATCCTTTTCCCCACCAGGGTTGGAATGGCTTATGTCTCCATTCGAGTGGACAAAGAAAGTGCTGCACAGACAGTGATGAAAGAAGTCCTCCCGTTACTGGGGCGACAGGTAAGCGTTTAGGCTGTGGCTACTCTGGAATTGAGAGGATGTTTCCTTTCCAGGCTGATTCTCATGAAGTATATGTACTGTTGTATTTGGCATGTCAGTCACATAGTCATTCAGCAAACTTTTCTTAAGTGCTTACCACCTTGAGGGCCGTGTGCGTTCAGCTATGCTCATATAGGAGAAAGAAGACACTGGATTGGAGTCAGTCCTAATTCTGCCACTTACTAGCTCTGGGTTTTGTCCTCTCTAAAATAAAGGGCTGGAATAATGACCACCATGACTGACAGAAATACAACACTTTGAAGTTGGAAAGTGCTTTTTTTTATTTTTTCTTTTGAGCAAGGGCAAAACAAGGGCAAATATGGAAACTCTTTCCATTTTGCAGGTGAGGAGAGTGAAGGGTTAACTTCATAGAGGTTAAATGAGTTGGCCATGGTCACACAGCTAGGAAGTGTCATAGGCAGGATTTGAACCCATGACTTACTACTCCAAGTCCAGCCTCCATCTGCATTTCATGCCTTCCATACTCTAAATTCTATAAACCTCTGTTATAGATTTAATATACCACAACTTGTTTAGCCATTCTCCAGTTGATGGCCATTCCCTCAATTTCCAATTCTTTGCCACCACAAAAAGAGCTGCTATAAATATTTTTGTGCAGGTGGATCCCTTTCCCATTTGTATGATCTCTTTAGGATACAGCATTTTTATAGCCCTTTGGGCATAGTTCCAAATTGTTCTCCAGAATGGTTGGATTATTTCACAACTCCACCAACAATGCATTAGTGTTCCAATCTTCCCACATCTTCTCCAACATTTATCATTTTCCTGTTTTCCCATGTTGGCCAATCTGATAGGTGTGATGTGGTACTTCAAAGTTGTTTTGATTCGCATTTCTCTAATCAGTAGTGATTTAGAACATTTTTCATATGACTATAGATGGCTTTAATTTCTTCATCTGAGAACTGCCTGTTCATATCCTTTGACCATTTATCAATTGGGGAATGACTTGTATTCTTATAAATTTGACTTAATTCTGTATGTATTTTAGAATTGAGGTCTGTTATAGATTTAAGAAAGACATGATACTTCCCTCTCTGAGCTTACAGCCCAGTAGGATCATATTTTGACCTAGTCATATTCCATTATCAGTGGGCAGGGTATACTGAAAGACAACATAACCCAAGACGGCTGTAGTAAGTTATGTTCTAATTGGATCTCTTTGGGCAGACCCAGAGGATAGACAGTTTGGTAGAGAGAGCACTTGAGTTAGAGTCAGGATGATTAGGTTTTGATTTTAGCTCTCCCTTTACTATCTGTGTGGCCTTGAGTAAATCCCTTCTCTTCTCTGAGCCTGAGGTTTGTCATCTATAAAGTTAGGGTGTTAGACTGACTACACAACCTTTGAGCTCCCTTTTCGTTTTGATAATCCGAGATATTATTCATCTTCAAGTCCTTTTCCTGGGTTTGAGTCATTCTGTTGGGCCTTTCGCTTTCTGTTTGGGAAGCTGAGATATTGGGATGAGTGATGGAGCAACTATTGGAAACCACCTCATGAACAAGGTATGTTGACTTTGGCAAAAGCTTCATAAAATGTTTTTGTCTAATCCCTGGCAGGCAGAAAGTCTCAAGAATTTCCGGCTTGTGGAGGTGCTCATGGGCAGTAAGCAAGGTAAGATGGGGACCGGAGCTGTTGATGAGGCCTGAAGTGACAGGATAGACCACAGTCTGAGCTGGGACCATCAGTTTTATTATACCAGACCCCATAGGCCAGGGTCTAGCCCTGGTGGATTCTTCTTGCTAGGATTTCATATTATATGTTACCATGATTCTCTGGTAAGGTAGGGGAGGAAAGCAATCTCTATTGCCTCTATTGCCACTATTGCCACTGAAGAGAGTACCAAACCGTTTCCTACCCTGGCCTTGTAGGTGAGTAGCAGATAAAAACAGAAGGAGCCCAGGGCTGGGAGCTGATGTTCTCCAAACCAACACATATACTTAGAGCTGAGTGTGTTGATGCAAAAAAGAGGGCAATGCAATGTGGCCCTGGGGAGCCTGGCTATCTGGGTGGCTTCCCTTGTGTGTCTGTGTTCCCCAGGATTCATTGTGTCTCTTGGGAGGTCTTATTTACCTGGCCATGATGTAAGGTTCTTAAGGTCTTGGAGTCTGAGATAAAAACTCTTGGTCATAAAGTCAGCAACAGCTACATCCTTGACAATCCTTTTGGAGCCCTAGGTAGGCCTAAGTCAGAGGTTTAGGAGAAAGCACAGCCTTCCTTGAACACTCTCCTGGATCATGAAAAGAACTGTCATCAGGATCCCACCCCAACAACACTACCAAGACCTCTCTTGTGGTTTCAAATCCCAGCTCTGCCCCTTTCTGATTCTATAAACTGAGTCATGTCCCTTCCTCTCTGTGGGCCTCAGTTTCCTCCCATGGACATCCCTAAAACCTCTTTCATCTATCAATCCTCTGATCCCTGGGATTAATACCTGGCTTTGTTGTTTATTCACTTGCCTGACACTGGGCAACAAACTCCTTTTTCATCTTTAAGTCTCAGTTTTATCATCTCTCAAGTGGAGCTGATAATGTGTCCTCTGCCCCCATTCTGGGTTGTTGTGAGAAAAGCAGCTTGTATACTTTAAACTGGTGGCATCAACCTCAAAGAAATAGGTTGCTAAACTGCCGCATATTAACTTAGAAAACCCAAATTAACCTTATCTAATAATCTTGTATTATGTTTTTGTGTATTTTGTAAAACATTTCCCAGTTACATTTTAATCTGGTTCCGGTCCCACTCAGGAGTTTTGTGGCCACAAATTTGACACATCTGCTGTAAACCATCCTACTAGGATCTGTTTTTCTTAACATCACCGTTATTATTTTTCCGTGTTGCTTCGGTGACTCCAATTCTTCTCAATTCCTTTAGTTCAACAAAAGCTTTATTAAGCACCAACTTGGTGCAGAGATTTTGCTGGATGCTGGGGAGATAGAGAACTGGGATTCACAACAGTCCAAGATGAATATTCCAGCTGCGCCACTAGGTCTGCCCACCACCTGACATTCCATCTCCTTCCTTTTCTGGTGCTGCCCTCATGGCTGTTAGCTTGAAATTACTTCATGTTGCTCTGCATCTACTTTGTACTTATATACGTATTTAGGAGTATCACTTTGACAGCTGTGTGGAGGATGGGTTAGAGACAGTTGTTGTGTATATAAATGCAAAGAAATGTGCATGTATATTGTATGCAGAAGTAATAAACATACATGTTATAGGCAAGTGTGATAGAATTTAAGTTCTTCCAAGGCAGGAAATGCTTTGTTTTCCAGCTTTGTATCCCTAGCACCTAGGTCAGCACCTTGTACTTAGTAGACACTTAATAGGGAGGTGTTTCTTGAATTGAAATGAAAACAGTTTAGCTATGGACAGAAAGAGTCCACCTTTTCCTTCCCTCCTCAGTCCTTGTCCTCAGAGACCTCTCTTTGCACAAACTCATCTTCCTTCTTATCTCCTGCACTTGGACCACTGGGTTCTGTACATGTCAAATAGCTCACCTTTTAAACTGAGGCCAGGCAGTGACCTTTGTCAATAGTGTTTCCAAACCCTTGAAAAATCAGACAGTTGATTGTTTTAAGCAGAAGTCTGACTGTTTGTTTTCAAATTCCGTGATCCTTCAACTCCTCTTAATGTCTTTTGAATCCTTTTAGTTCAGCGGATGACACTGACTGATGAGGAATTAATTCTCAGCAGGCTTAGAGACATCCGAAAGGTAATTGAATTATGATTCATGAACTTTCTGTTGTATTTCTTGGGCATAGGTTGAAAGAAAAGTTGGGAGGGTGTGGTGGAGTTTTTAATGGTTCTCTCACTGAAAACAGTCTTCTTGGCCCAGAAGGGTCTTAACCATCAGAATTTCTAGAGGGACATCTTACTAACCATGTCCCTGGAAAGTATTCTGTAGGTTTAATTCAGCAAACATTTGCTGAGCACCCACTGTATGCACTGTATCCCCATGCTGTGGGATTTTATTTTATTCTTAATGGTATTTTATTTTTTCCAATTACATATAAAGACAATTTTTAACATTCCTTTTTTACAAAATTTTGAGTTCCAAATTTTTTCCCTCTTTCCTTCCCCTTTCCCCCTCCCTAATATAGTAAGCAATTTGATATAGGTTATAAATGTGCAATCATGTAAAACATATTTCCGCATTAGTCATGTTGTGAAAAAAGAAACAATTTGCAAAAATAATTATAGTTTACAAAGGGAAAAAAATACTGTGGAATTTTAAAAGGAAAGGAGAGGAGAAGCTATGGAAGGTGGTTTTTTCCCCTTGGCAACCCATAAAGTTCTGTAAATGATACTTTCATTTACACACACACACCTTATATATACACATATGTGTGCATACCCGTAGATGCACATGTGTGTATATGTATTGCATACCTATATATAAATATATACTCATACATGTGTGTATATATGAATGTATGCATTGCATGTCTCAATGTATACTACCTATGTATATGTATATATGGTATAATATTGTATATGTAATAATAATGTGTATGGGTGGTATAATAGAGAAAGCCATGGTCTAGTCATCAGGAGGCCTGATTTGGGTCCTGGTTGTTGACCTTAGCTTACTGTATGACCTTAGGCAATTGATTTTGCTTCTCTGAGCCTTCCTTTCCTTAGCAGGAAAGATCAGATTATGCCCTAGGATGCCCTCTAGCTCCAAGATCCCACGAGTCTGTGGTTCTCTAATCTCTTGTGGGCTGTTCAGAATGCCTCTGATACATCAGACTATGGGAAGCATTATGTATGGTTCATAGAACATGAGGTCTCAGAAATGGAGGAGACTTCAAAGGGCATCTGGTCCAGCTGCTAAATAAATCATTAATGCTTTCTACAAGTGCTAATCTAGCAGGCGCTTGAAGGCCTCCAATGATGAGAAGCTCACTACCTGCTAGGGTGGCCCATTCCATTTGTAGGAAGGTCTCAGCAAGGGGAAATTTTTTCCTGATGTAGAGCTTAAATCTATGTCTCTGTGATTGCTATTCATGGCTCCTATTTTTACCTTTTGGGGCCAGAAAGAACACATCTAATCCATTTTTCTTTTCTATGTGACAGATGTTGGAAGACAGCTGTTACATTGTCCTTGAGTCTCCTTTACTCCAAGCTAAACATCCATAGTTTCTTCACCAGATGCTTGAATGGCCTATTCTGTAGTCCTCATATTATTCTGACTGTCTTCTTCCAGTTGTGGCTCAATTTGTCAAAAACTTCCCTGAAATGTGCCCAGCGCTGTTTACAGCACTGGTCTAACCAAGGGAAATAGTTGGGCTAGCCTCTCTTCCTCTATTAATGCAGCCTAAGATAGAGGGATTTTGGCTGCCACGTCACACTGTTCACTTACTAACCCCACCTCCCCACCCCCAACCTGGGGATCTTTTTCTGCACAAACTGTTTTCTAGACGGGCTGCTCCCATCCCGTACTTAGGCAACTGATTTCTTGAGTCCAAGTGTACGCTTCTGGTGTAATGAAAAGAGCCCTGGATTTGGGGACAGGAGGATCGTGGCATGGAGCAAGTCCTGTGACCTCCTTAGGCCTTAGGCTCCTCTTCTGTAAGATAGAGAGGCACTCAGTGATTCCTCTGAAGCTCCTAGTTCTCTGCTCCTACCCAGGAGCTCACATTTATGCCTGTAAAATTTCTTAGATTCTGCCCATCATTCTGTCCTGTCAGGGTATCGTTGGATCCAAGTTTTTTGAGGACACTTTCTGTTTCCTCTAACTGGGGTAAGCCTTTTGTCCTCTCAGTTCGTCTTTTTTTCCCCTCCTCATTTTGCTCTGTCTTCCCAGTGTAATTCCCTCTTCTGCCTCCTTGCTTGGTTCTCACCTAGAATCAGAGGCTGTCAGAGCCAAGAGGGATCTTAGCAATTATTCAGTTCAGGCCTCTCCGTATAGGGATGAGGAAACTTGAGGCCCAAAGACAGGAGGTGTTTTTCCCAAAGTCACACAGTAAATTAGAACCCAGATCTCTTGAGTCCTAGGCCAGGCCTTTTGCCCCTGCACTGAGCAGCTTCCCTGGCTGCTGTCAGATTGACTGCCAACCCAAACAGGTGATTTTCTGTGTTCATGATAATGCTATCACCATCCCCAAGCACCTCTGGGTTCACTGTCACTTTTCTTTACTTCCAGACTTCCATACGTCAAATGAACCAAACAAGATTTTATGTGGTGGAAAACAGCGATGCTGCCACACAAGTGAACCTGTTTGTTGGGGGCCTGCCCCCCCAGCTCTCTGCTAAAGAGTACACTCATATCCTAAAAGAGGATTTGGCTATCAAAAGTGAGTAATAAAAGAAATCCCCCTAAACCACCTTTTTCTTAAAGAAATTGCCTTTGCCTGTTCCCTTGTCATTATGATTTCCTTTCTGCTTTTGACCATATAAGAATTTTCTGAGCAGCTTCATTTCCCCTGTTCCCACTTCCCTCTCTCTCTGAATTTTACTGCCGCCATTTTTAATCTTGCCCTTGAGAAGGAACCAACCCCAAGGTGGGGAAACAGAAGAGGAGCATCCCTAGGCCCTGCCCTCTGGTGCTCACTGGATCAGGGAGACTGAAGGAACAAACTCTTCAGGGCCTGCCTTCAGGGAGTGTCACAGTCTTGGGGAGACAGAGGAGAAGCCTGTCATAATCTAGTTCCAGCCTACATTTCCAGCTTCATCAGACATTACTCTCCTATGTTTTACAGTCTAGCCAAGCCAGCTTTCTTTCTCTTCTAAACACACAGCACCATCTCCCATCTCTATTTCCTATCTCCATGCCTCTGTACTGCTGTTCTCCTCCATTGCTGGAAGGCTCTCCAGACTCAATTCCACCTGTAGGATCCCTCCCTTCCTTCAAAACATAGCACTGCCTTCTACACGAAGCCCTTCCTGATTGCCCCAACTGCTAGGGCCCCAACTCCCTAAACTATCTTTCATTACTTTGTATTTATTTTTTATGTGCCCATATGTATAAATGTTGGCTCCTCTGGCTGAAAGTAGACTCTTTGAAAACAGTGACTATTTCATTTTTAATCTCTATATCCCCAGTGCCCAGCACATAGTGCTTAATAACATGCTTAGTAAGCACTTAATCAAAGCTTGTTGATTAATTGATTACTCTTAGGGGAGCTCAAAGTCTTGGGGAGGCAGAAAAGGAGTAGATTAAAGCCCTGCCTTTAGGGAGCCTACAGGATGAGGGAGACAAGACTGATTAATTACTCACGGAAGAGAGACTGTTACATGATGGTATATAGTGACCAACTGTTAAAAACTGAGTTTAATTTAGGTACCAAATGCACATACAGACTGAAGGGCTGTCAGTGGTCAGGAAGGGAAGTCTTTGTTATCTGTCCTAGTCAGGGAAAGCTTTCTGCAGGAGGCTATTCTTGAGGTGGACCTTGAAGAATTGGACTAACTTTGGATTATTCTCACAGTTGTTTTTTGGGGGGGGGCAGGGGGCTCTAGAAAATAGTTTGTGTGGGAAAATATCTGGGGAGTTTAGTAGATGACAAAATTCAACAGAGTGAATAGTGTGATATGGCAGCCAACCAAACCTAATCTCAGGCTACATTAACAGAGAAAGAGTGGCTACGATGAATGGGGATAGAGTCCCAATCGTTCACTCTCTACCTGCGTTACCGTTAGACCACATCTGTAGTACCGCAAAGAGGTAGGGCACATTTTAGGAAGGTTTTTCAAATTCGTACCTGATGTTTTGGTTGGCATTTCATGAATTCGGTCCTGGCACTCATGTTGACTTCCTAGTCAATACAACAAATGTTTATTTATTAAGCACTAGTACTGTAACTATATGCTGGGTGTTTTAAACTCTTTGTTAAGATAAGAGTCTGCTTCCAGTGTGGAGAATGTACTGTCCCAAGCTTCGGGGGTTTGTACAGCTGTTTTCAGAGAAACTTTTAGGGACCTGAAAAGTGTCAGTTCTTCCAAGGTGCTATGATAAGGGGTGAGGTGTTTCCTCTCCACTGCCACAACAAGCTCCACCACACCAGCACTCCTCCTTGCCCCAGAACCCACCCTCAGAACTGTGACCCAGATCCAAGCATGATCAGAGCAAGAGATTCCTGCCTCAGCACTGGCCAAGAGATCCCTGCAATGCCCCTCTGATCAGCCACTCAGTGTGTGGGCCAGAAGCTCAGGAGGCAGCCGCTGCCCCAGAGGCCGCACTCAGGACTTGTTGTTGAGACCTAGCTCCTTCTCTCACTGCAGTCACAGACTTTTCCCACTGACCTTCTAAGTTGTCTTTGGCATTCATGGGTTGAGAAGTCTGGAAGAGGCCACAGCTGCCTGCGATTCAGTCCTCTGAGGCCTGCTCCAGGGTCGCTGTGACCTGCACGCCCACAACACACTGCGCTCCTCTCCCCGCCCGGCGCGATATACCTTTCTGATCAACCATCCAGGTTATCTTGGGCTGAAAATTTGTTTCACTCTCTCTTTTTCTGGGTTCTGCTGCTTTAGAATTTGTTTAGAGCCATTTTTTACAGGTATTTGGAGGGGTTTGGGGGAGAGCTCAAGCGAGTCACTGTTTTCACTCCACCATCTTGTTTCCGCCCATGCTGGGTGTTTATGATGCAAAGTTCAGCCCACAGTCTCTACCCAAGGAACCTACAGTCTAATTACGGAGATAAGATGCCAGCACAGGCCATTGTAATACCTAATATCCTAGTAGTTTCCTGGATGCCTGATGGTCAAGCCAGGCTTCTCTTTGTACATTTGTACAATGAGGATGTTGAACTACATGGTCTTGAAGAGCCTTTCAAGCTCCGGAGTTCCCCAAACTGAGCCCATCTCTTCTCCTTGACAGTTCCCATTAGTCAGCTTGAGGAAGGGGCCATTTCAGCTGTGGGGACAGAAAAGGAGGGGAAAGAGTCACTAAAGATGGGATTGGAATTTGTAGAATTTCAGTCTCAAGGGACTGGGAAATCAGCATGTGTGTTAGAAGTTGGAAAAGTTGATTTTTGTTTTCTGTGTTTACAGCAAATCTAGTGACCGTAACTCACGTTTACGCAAATCAAGGTAAGGAGAGCATATTGTATGAATGTTACATAATTTATGTATATCTCTGTATCTGTTATGTAGCTTATATATCTGTAATGTCTGTTGTATTGTTGTTAGTCCTTTGTTCTTGAAGAAGACTGGGGACATCAGGAGGATGATGTCTTGATTTGCAAGTGAATTGGATTTAAGTGAAGCAGAGCTATGCAAAGTCATCAGCCTCACATTGTAGGTGTTTATAAGGTATATCATAAAGAGCCTTAGATTTGGGGACCAGAAGGTCCAAGCTAAAATTTAATTTAATCTCTTTTGCTTGACAGTGAGGTAACATTAGAAAGCCCTTCTAACTCTCTGAGCCTCAGTATTTTCAATGGTAAAATGGGGATGGTACTTTTACTCCCTAACTCACAGTTTTGTTATGAGAGTCAAGTGAGATAATATGTAACTTTGCAAACCAGAAAGCACTCTGTAAATGTCAGCCAATATTCTCCAATGCGAGCCCCGGGTGAGATGATGACTTTGCTAATTAAGGTGAGATGTAATGAGTTATTCTTCTTCTCAGCTCCACCTTGAATAATTTATGAATCTTTTCTGGCTGGATCTGTCTCCTAGGGAAACAGCATGGATTCAAAGCGGCTGGTAAAAATTACTTGGGATGTTCAATGTATTCACTTTCAGATCTGAAATATTTCTTACAAAATAAGAATAGGAAATGGAGATGGAGAAGCATGGTCCCAAAGGATGTTGTTGCCAGCCCCCAAATTTTTCTGTCTGTTAGATGTCCATATCTCCTACCCACAATCCCATGCAGTACAGTAAAATGGAAAGTGGAAACAGCATAGACTGGAAGTCAAGAGACATAGGTTCTAACTCCAACTCTGTCACTGACTTTCTCTGTGACGTCAGACAAGTAACATCAGTATTCTGAGCCTCAGTTGCTTTCTCTGAAGATGGGAATAAGGTTACATCTGGTCCTGTTGACCACCCACGGATGTTGTAAGGATCAAAAGAGAGAATGGAAAGGATGGACTATTCCATAAGTATTTGTTAGTATTATGAAGACAAAGAGGAAAAGAGAGGAGACAGCATTTTTGCAGAGGGACAGAGCATCAGATCTAGAATAAAAAAACCCGTTAGTTCAAGGGCCTGGTTCTCTTATTTACTAGCTGTATGACCCTGGCCAAGTTGCTTCCATTCCCTGAATCTCAGTTTTCTCATTTGTAAAAGAAAGGAAAGAAAGGAGGGAATGAAGGAAGGAAGGAGTTATTAATTGCCTTCAATGGGTTATCCCCACTTCACAGTTGTAAAAACTGAGTCAGATAGTGGTTAAGTTCCTTGCCCAGGGTCACACAGCTAGTAAGTATCTAAGGTCAGTTTTCAACTCAGGTCTTCCTGACTCCAGGCCCCGTGCCCTCTCCACTGTCATGGACCCATTTAGCAGATTAGTGAGGCCTATGGAACCCTTTGCAGAATAATGTTTTTAAATTAATAAAACAAAATATATGGGATTAAAAAGGGAATTATAGTGAATTATAGTGAAATAATAGTTATAAAGTGTTTTTAAAACAGAGACCCCAGGTTAAGAACCCCTAGGCCAGATACCCTAGAAGAGGTCCCTTCTGGCCCCAGCATTCCATGATATGGATCTTCTCCAACTCTTGGAAATGGAAGGGAACCCCAGAGGTGTCTAATTCAGTCTACCACTGTGCAGGCATCCCCTCTGCAGTATTTCTGATAAGTGACCTGATAAGCTGCTGCTTAAATTTCTAATAGTGGGGAACTTGCTACCCTCCTGTGGGAGTCCATTCATTCCACTTTGATTATTAGGAAATTCTTCCCTATAATAGGGTGTCCTCAAAGCCAGTAAAGTTTTAAGTTTTAATAGCCTAAATATTATTATATATTTTAATTTGTTTCTATCATATAGACATTATTTATATATTTTAAGCTTTAATAGCTTATGTATTGTTGTATATTGATGTGGATTATATATTATTTTAATATTTAATAGTTCTTAAACTATTAAATATTTTTATATCCCAAAAGTCTTAGTGCAGTTTAAAGTTTTAATAGCTTAAATAGAATTATATATTAATGTTGTATATTACTATATTAACATTTTGTCGTGCTTATAATATATTCATATGATAAATATTATAACATGTAAATATAATACATAAGATACTATAATCTATATAATGTAATATTTAATCATTTTTAATAACCCATGAAAGATTAAAGCTGCAATAAGACTTTGAGGTTGCCCTGTCTTGAGCCAATACCTGTTTTCCTATAACTTTCCTCCATTACTCCCAGGTTTGCTTTCTGGAACTGAGCAGAAGAAATCTAATTTTATTTCTATATGATAGACTGACCTTCAGATACTTTAAGATGGCTCTTAATTTAGCTGAGAAGATTGTCTAAGTGACCATAGCAATAGAGCTGATGTTAGCAGAGTTAAGCTATTGGCCATCCAGGTGTGACAGACTCCTGCTTGAGTCACTAAATTTTGCCTGAGAGCAATTTTTAAATAAAACAAAATGAGATGGGGGAGGGGGGGCTGGAGGAAGCAAACACAAAAGACAACTCTCTTGCTTCCCACCCCTTTCCCCCACCACGTCTCATCCTCACAACGAGTCTTTTTTCTCCCCATTTCCTTCCACTTCTTGTTATGTGGTGTGATATCCAATCCTGTTCTCCAGATTTTGATCAATTTCTAGTTTGTCAGAGCCCCACCAGCTGTCCTTTCCATGTGCTCCTTTTGGAGAGATGCTTCTCTTATGGCAAATATGATATACTTGTGGGGTTGATGCTCAGAGAGAATTCATAGGATTGATTTAGAGCTGGTAAAAAAAAGGATTGAGAGCTTTCATCTGGGTCCCTGGAGGGCATATTCATGTTGATGAGATCATGGACCCATTGAGGTATCAATATCACAGGGAACCCATAGCTCAGTTAGCCCATTCCCAGGGTTACGCGGCCAAGACAGAGGAAAAGACTTAAACAAAGTCCCAAAGCTAGTAGGTAGTAGAGCAGGGTTTTGAACCCAGATTCAAGTTGATTCCACATTCGCTTAAACAGTTGAGTCTCTGTGTGGTTTTTTCCTTCAGTGGCAGGGGCTACTTGATGTCATTGTGTGTAGTGAGGCTCCAGTATAAGATTCTCCCCTTCTCCCTAATTGATTCATGAGTTTCTTGGTGATTTTACTTGAGTCACTAGTTGAGCATAAAAGCAAATGATTTTTATTTCAGGGGCCGTTGTACTTGACATCTCCTGTTTTTCGGAGGCAGAGAGAATATATATGCTCATTAAGGATACAGTGGTCCAGGACAAGCAGCTGACTGGAATTGTGTTGCCAGAAGTGATGGTAAGGTACCTGCTCCCTCAGAGTTTGTGACTTCTTCCAGGTGGCACAGGGAATAGGCAGCAGAGCTGGAATTTGAACCGAGGTCCTCAGACTCCAAAGCCGTTGTTTTTTCTGCTAAGCCCCACTGCTTCCCTCTTCCCTATGGGAGTGGCCAGACAGGAGTCAGGAAAGGAAGAGGGCAGAAAGAAGACAGGAGGGGCTGGAATCTCACCATTTTTGGAAACAATGAACAGGGACCAAAATTCAGAAAGCTAAGTCATTAGTTAATTATAGTCCGAGTTAAATTAATTATACATTTAAATTTAAATTAAATTAATTATAAATTTGAATGAAAACAAAATGGATGTGAAAAGAACCTTCAAAATGGTGAAGTCAATGGAAGGCGGGGTTATTGATGGCAAAATTCTGCACGGTGATTAGCCGTATCATGGAAGACACTGGTACCATAGGACCAGGTTCATTTGGGTCAGTTAACGTATATTTACTGTTCCCTACCACACACTGTGGGGGATGCAGGGATGAGGAAGGCACTGTTGTTTCCTTCTAGAAATCACGGAATGCCATAGTTGGGAAAGGAACCTTAGAGATCATCCAGTCCTAATGCATAGTCTGTTCAGAAACTTACATTGATTCTTGATTGTCTGGAAAATAAAATATAAACTCCTAAGATCCTTGACAGTCTGGTGTTAACCTCCTTTTCCAGGCTTATTTTATATTTTTCTCCGGTGCTAACTCTACATTCCAGCACAGTCGGGCCCCATGTGCCGTTTTCCAGCTCTGTGCATTCATCTCGCATTCCTAGAGTGCTGACTTCTTCAGCGCCATCTTTCAGAAATCTTCTCTTGCTCCAAGGCTGAGCTCAGGTGTTATTCCTCTAAGAAGTCTTCCCTGATTTCCTTCTCCATTCCTGTCTGAAAGTGTTCTCTCCCCATCTCAGATTTTCCTGGAGCCGTTTGTCCGGATCTCTCCTTTGTCCCCCATCATTACTAGCCACCAAGGATTGAGTATGTATTGTCTCTCCTCGCTCCCCAGTCAAATGGAAACTTCTTGAGGGCAGGAACTGAGTCTTTTTTTTTTTATCTTTGTATCTCCTGCACCTAGCATGGTGTCTTGCACATAGCAGGTGCTTAATAAATATTTATTTTGAATCCTCTCTCATGTTATAGAAGAGCAAACTGAGGCCTAGAGAGGGAAAGTGACAGCCTAAAAGGTATGTAGCAAGTTGGGACTGGAATACGGGTCTCCTGACTCCAGCTCTGTGTCTCTTTCTGGCATATCATGTTGCATCTCTACTTATCCCATCTTCTTTCTGAGGCAAGATTGTAATATATGTGAAAAGTTAACTCCTCATATACAAACATATATGCATGTATACATACATATATGTGTGTGTAAGTGTATGCTAAAAAAAAAAAAAACTGGTGCAAAAAGTAGTAATTGTGGATTTAGATCCGTGGGCTGAGGTGGTCAGGGGAGTCTTCTCGAAGGAGGGGAGATCTCATGCTAGGTCTTAAAGGGGAGAAAAAAGAAGGTAACCATTCAAGGAGAGAGGAAGAACATGAGTAGCGGATCAAGGATATGAATGAGCTCACCACATTGGTGGAGTAGGAGGCAACAGAGACATCATAAGAATGTGACTCGGAGTGGAGAGGCCTTCTTGGACCCTTGTTAGCTGTGTAAACACTGCCTCCTGGATGTTTGTCTGCTTTGTGATGAAATCGTCCTATTTCCCCCTTGCTCCAGCCACTGGCCCTGCCCTCATAGCCTTGAAGGTCACCAGCCAACTACATGTGGGCACCTTTATAATTGGCCAACAGGTGGCGCTTCTGAGCCAATAAAAGTGAGCTTGCCTTCAGCCTCCTCAGAGGGTGGGGGAAAACTGACCGCATAGATCCACCAAACTAAATAGCACAGAGAACAGCTACATAAGAATATCAGTGGCAAGAGGTGTTCAGTAAATCACAGTAGACAAAATCCAGAAAAGAATCCAGCAAGAAAAATGATGGCCTCAGGTATCTATAGACTTATGCACGAAACAAACCAGATGAACTAAAGATCTTACTGCAAGGAAGCAAATTGGACATCATGAATATCGGAAGGATTGGCTTTTCCAGTTGGAACTGTGTACCTCGTTCAAAAGTAAGAGTATCTGCAAAAGAGGATGGTGGAGGTGACTAGCACTGCATATCAAGAAGACCTCGGTGTATGTGTGGAAATCCGGGAACTGGAACAGGAAGTATGGTGGAGAGCGTTTGAGTGAAAGTCACTGGCGCTAGAAATAGAAGCAGTATTGTCATTAGAGTAAACCACAGAGCGCCTGCACAGAATGAGGAAATAGATGAATTCAGGAAAGAGATGATAAGCTTAGCACAGAAGTGTGTTACCTAGTACTGATGGAGGACTTTAGTTATTCAGTCTTTTGCTATAGTTTTGTCTGCTCAAAGCAAAGCAGCTAATAATATCTTGGCTTGTCATAATAATAATAATTTTAATCTTCAAAGGGAGGAGGAACCAGTGAGGAGAACTACTACTCTGGATCTGAATTTTCACCAACAAGGAGAAACAATGGGAGTTTTGGGGAAAGTGATCATCCCATCTTAGTGTTTGTGATAGAAAAAGAGAGAGAAAAGTTGGCCATGGTCTGACATGTACACTGGGCTTTTGGAGAGCAGGTGTCAAAAGGTCCAGAAAAAGAATAGATTGAATTCCATGGCTTAAAATGGGGACATCAGCCCAAAGAGAGTAAGTAAAATACTAAAGGCCGAAAATTCTATTGAAGATGTAAAGAGGGAATTATCTTAAGAGATCATTGTGGATGCATAGGAAACTCATCGGCCCATTTAGGTTATAAAAGACATGTACAGAAAGTGGAATCGAGGGCAGGTGATACTACATGAAAACGAAAACGTGGCACAGTCGTCCAAATTTAGTGTCTGGAGCACTAATACTCAAAATGAGCTGAGACTGGCAAGGAAAGCTAAGAACAACAAAAAGGGTTGGTTTGGTTTTTTTTTAAGTTTTATTATGGAAGAAAGGATCAAAGCAAGGAAAGAATAGTTGCTCAGAATGGAATGCATGATGATATTGGACAATGGAGAGGAAGGAGAGCTGCTGAACTCTTCATTTTGTCTCTGTTTTCTCTGCTAAGAAGATGATCTTTAAATTGGAAAGGATAGAACAGAGGCTAATGGGAAATTGATGCCTAAGATGTCAGGAGTTAGTAAGAGAACCCCTATTTCTTCTCAGTCAACAAGCATTTATTAAGTAGTCATTATGATCCAGACAAAAAGGAAATATGATCAGTTCAGGATATCAGGCACAGTCTCAGGGCATTGAAAGAAGTGGTGAGTGTGATTGATGAGCCTCTTTGAAAGATCAGAGACAAGAGAAGAGGATGGAATCAGTAAACTAGAGACAAGGGAGCTTGACTTTTAACACCCAGCAAAATTCTAGAATTAAAGATTGTTAGTGAACCCCAAGAAAAGGAAGTAGTGATCCAAGGGACAGCATGGTTCATTAAGAACAGATAATTCTTTTCCTTTTTTGGCAGGATTACTAGACTCATTGATCAGGGCAGGGCAATTCCATGAATTAGTTTACCTCGATTTTAGCCAAACATCTGATTAAGTCTCTTCTGCTGTCCTTTTGGAAAAGATGGAGACATATAAGCTAGGCAATGCTAGAGGATGGATTTGTAATTGTTTGAATGTCCGGACCTTAAGAACTGCAGTTCATGGTCAGGTAGGAAGTCTCTAGTAGAGTGCTCCGTAGATCTGTTTAATGGTTCTTTGCTGGCACACTTATCAATTCTGCAGGTGACACAAAGCTGGGAGGAAGATCTAACTTGTTGAGTGGCAGTCAGGATCTAAAATGACCTCAACAGGTTAGCACGTTGGCTTGAATCCAGTGAAATGGAATTTACAGGGATCATTGCAAAGTCACACTTGGGTTCAAAACACCAGCTTTACAAGTGCAAGATTGAGGAGGTGTGGCTGGACAGAAGTTCAAAGGAAAAAGATCTGGGGCTTTTATTGGACTGTGAACTCAACATGAGTCTACTGTGTGATGTAGCAGACTAAAAAGCCAATGCCATTTCAAGGTGCATTAAGTGAAGCGTGGTATCTTGGGGAGGCCATTGTCATACTGTATTCTACCCTGCTTCATCATTGCTGGGAGTGTTGTGCTCAGTGCTAGGCATCACGTTTTAAGAAGTGTGTTGACAAAGCATGTTGACCTTCAAAAGGAGGGTGACTTTCTCTGTTGATATTGTGCCATACCATGCTTGGTTGAAGCGTAGAGATTTAGCATGGAGGGAAAAGAAGACTTGGTGGGAGAGAGGGGGTAAAGGGATAGAAGATGTGAGTTGTCTTCAAGAATTCCTTACATGGAAGAAGGATTAGACTTGTTTTGTGTGGAAACAGAGGGCAGAACTAGAGACAGGTGCAAGTGGCAGAGAGGAGTGTTTAGACCTGAGATAATGATGGGAGTTGTTCAACAGTGGAGTGGGCTTCTCTGGGAGGTAGTTGGTTCCCTTTCCACAGAGGTCTTCAAGCAAAGGCTGGGCAGCCACCTCTTTGGTGCATTTTAGAGGGAGTTCTTAAACCAGATGACTTTCGAGATTCTAAGATTCCCTGACATTTAGCAGTGAGGGCAAGAGCAATCAAGAAAGGCTTCAAGGAAGAGACAGAAGTTGAACTGGACCATGAAGGATAAGCAAGAGAGGCAGACTGGAAAGAGAGAAGAAGTTATCATCATTAACAATAATAGCTCCCATTTGTGTAGGGTTCACTTTTATGGAACACTTTCCTTACAACAGCACTATGAGGTGGGCACAGTGATGAACTTGGAGTCAGAAAAACCCAAGTTCAAATCCTACCTCAGACACTTACTAGCTGTGTGACCCTGGGCAAATCACTTAACCTCATCTGCTTCAGTTTGCTCAGTGGAGATAATAATAACACCTACCTCACAGTGTTGTTGTGAGGATGAAATTACATAAT